GTCCTGCACCGTCCATCTTGAACGCGAAATCCTCGTTCGATAAGAGTTGACGCCGAATCAAGTCGCGTCCACGATCACGATGCAGCCGAACCCCGCGGAGGTCCGTCAAGACTTGGCCAACGTGCTCTGGCTGAGCGTCCAGTACATCACGATGGTGTTTCTGATCCTAGCCACCTTTACCGCGCTCTACGCAATCAACAGCCGCGGGCGTATCGAGGGGCTCAACCTCTTCGAGATGAACCGGACGTTTGGCCTTGTCTGGGTCGGGCGGCCCTTTGTGCTCATTCGCAGTGCGTCGGCCATGATCATTCTGCACACCAATGTCCTCAACCTTTCTCAAATCGGAGCGTTCACGGTGTTTACGTCGCCGACCATTCTGTGGTACAACTTGGTGCTGGCCGCGGGCGAGCTCAACTGGCTCGTTTACGTCCTCAACGACAGCTTCAGCTGCATTACCACCAAGTACACGGCTGGGTATGCGATGAAGAGCACGCTCTCGACATGGCTCATCCTGATTGTCTGGACCGCGATCGAGCCCTGCAAGCACGTGGCCTACACGGACCGGCGATGTGTGGCGATTGACATGGATGTTGGCTTGCGCTGCCACAGCGCGTTTGTGGAAGTCGGCTTTGTCAACCGGATTGGCCTCTCGGTGCTCATCTGCTTTGGCTGCGTGGTTGCGAGTTTTTTGCTGGAAAAATACGTGTGTCGGGGAGCTCCCGTGTTTGATGCGACGTCGCTCATGCTCTCCGCACCCGCCAAGTACACGTTCGTGCTCGACGACTGGGTGCACAACGGTGTCTTGTACATTGATAAGCCATCGACACTCATGGCCGGCGTCCTCTCGGTCGAATATGCCGGTGGCATCTACCTCTTTGATGTCAAGAAATGGCGCCTCCTCGTGGCCTTTCGACACGCTAGCGTCGAAATGGTCTTCCCAGACGCGCGCTTCGTGTATGCGATTCCATTGGTCGAGTGAGACCACAGGAGATCAATGTTCGTGATGATGATGTTTGAGAGGAATTGATCGATGGACAATATTTTCTGTTTACGGTACATTGTGACATGTCGGTCCATTTGTAAATCGACAAATTGACAGTTTGGACCCAGTTGGACCCGTTGACTGAATTTAGTTGGCTGTGTACGCGCGTGGTTGCGGGCCGTGGTACACCGTCGCCAAGGCCACCCCGCAGCAATGCCTGGTCGCGACATGTGACAGAAACGGGTCTCTATCAGATTTCATATCACGGCAGACCATGTGTTGCACCCGATTTTGTCACATTGTTTAAAATCGCCCCTTTATTGTCGCGTATCCATTACATGTACTGCTTGGACTGGCCTTGGCGTCGCCACAACTTCCCAAGAGTGTCTGGTGGCCGTCATTTTCGCGCGCAGAGGCCTCGCAGTGGGGGCCCTTCTGCGTGGTATCATCATGTCGGTATCAACTATATACGCATCTGACCCGACTTGAGTCCTCGCAAAGCTCAAAACGTGTCAATTTATGACCATTGATGACGACTTGGATCCTCGCATTATGCATCAATGAATTTCGCGTCGTAAATGCATAGCATTCATCCTCCCAACCTCTTCGAGGCCCAACGACCGCCGACGTCGTTCCAAACTCATTCTTCACTCATTGTGGCAACGCTACTGCCCAAAAGAACATTGGTCGACGACCGTTCCAGCACCACGACCTCGCGAACGTCCTTTGCGACGTTCTTCTTGTTCCTCCAGCCGATCCTTCGTGACGACGATGGCTCTGCCACGTCCATCGCCTTGCTTGGTCGACCTCGTCTGTCGCCGCTAGCGTAGAGAGACCGCGTTCCAATGGTTTTCGTGCTTCTATGGCGTAGCTAGCTACCTACTACGTACGATCAGTAGTACTCTAGTAGCAAGTGTAACATTCTAGTATTTTAGGAGTTTGATTTGAGACAGACCCGAGAAATTAAAATAACACGGACGGCGGCCAGCCCGCGAGTATTTTAATTTAAATAATAATAATGCATTAAATTACGCCACGGCGATGGCACATGGGTTTCGTCGGACCGAGTCGCAGCAGCCACGATGACCCGCGCGACGAGCTACTCGTACTACGC